CATCTTTTAAAAAGATCATATCCTGTTTTGGTTGTGTATCCTGTTTATTCTTAGAGTCTTCATTATGCGTATTATTTTGTGTGCCAATTTTATTGCCTTCGGAGCAGTACGTGTTTTCGGTACTGTAGGATAATTAGTATGCGTGTCTGGTTCTGTTACTGACGTGTCTACTTCCTGAGGAGGCGGATTCTTTTTCTGACGCGGCAGGAGGGACTTGATGGCTTCCAGGTATTTTGTACTTGGTTGTCGGCCCCTCGCGCGTCGCGTGGTCATGGCGTGCGTATTTCCTGGCCTTTTGGTGTCATCATCTAGTTGAGCTGTCAAGACCAGCGTTTGAACCGGATCTTGCCTAGTTGCTTGCAAATGCTTATTGAGCTGTTCGACTTCCTGTATAGGATTTCGAGAGAGTGCGTCTACATTGACATTCGACGCACCTTTTTTATATTTGACTTCAAAATTAAAATTTTGTAACAGTCGCTGATGAGTTGTTTGTGAATTTGGGTCACTTATTGAGAATAAATGTACCAAAGGTCTATGGTCAGTAATGATGATGAATTTTCGGCCGTACAGATATGGTCTGAATTGCGAAATACTCCATACTATTGCTAATAGCTCGAGTCGAATAGCAGGGTAATTACTTTCAGCAGGTGTGAGGGTACGTGAGATGTATGCTACAGGGTGTTCTTGCTCTTCGTCATCAAATTGAGAAAGCGACCCTGCGATTCCGATTTTGGATGCATCAGTGGTAAGAAAAAATGTCCTGTCGAAAGCCGGGTGTTTGAGCACCGGAAGTTCACATAATTTATCACGTAGTGTCTCGAAAGCTCTTTGCTGCTCTTCCGCCCAAACGAACGGCTGGCGTTTCTTTAATAGAATAGTAAGTGGTATAGCGATTTTAGCGAAATTTTCTATGAATGGTTTATAGTATCTTGCTAGGCTGAGCCATTGTTTAACATTCTTTGGCGTGCGCGCGCGTAGTCCGTCTTTAGAGATTATATATCCGAGATATTCAATTTCCAAAAGTAGAATTTTACATTTCTTCGGATGAAGGACCAGATTAGTTTCACGAAGGCGTTTCATTAACTCGATGATGCTCTCGCAGTGTTCGTCGAATGTTTTAGAATATACACAAATATCATCGAAAAATGCTACTACATTTTTTAAGTCTGATACTAGTATATTTATTAGTGACAGAAAAACTGGTGCGCTAGTTTTCAGTCGAAAGGGCGAGCGACAAAACTGATATAGACCTGACTCGCATTTGAATGCAGTTTTATGCCTGTGTTTCTTTTTAATGCTTATCTGATGATATGATGAATACATATCGAATGATGAGAATAGTTGCGCACCGGCCATCCGTTTAAATAAGTCGACAGGTAGAGGGACTGGGAAATTATAATCCGCAATTATTTTATTTAGCGCGGGATAGTTAAATACGATGCACGACAGTTGTGGTTCGCCATCTTCCGTATTCTTTTTGGGCACGCAAAAAAATGGCACGCAAAAGACTGGCACGCAGTATGCGCTAGTTAATTTTTCGATAATCTCTCTTTCTAATAATTCCTGCATTTGTTCATTTATAAATTTGCTGATCTGCGGGGGGTGCCTAAACTGTCGGAGTCTGATTGGTACTTCGCAGGTAGCATAGATCTCGTGCTCGATAATACTCGTCGCTCCGAGCTTGTCGCCCTTAACAAAAAATCTGTCCTTATAATTTTCGATGACTTCTTCAATCTTTGCCCGTTGATCTTGTTTGATATGGTCAAATTTAATCAATTGAAGTAACTGTTTGACTCTTTCGTCACGATTATTAATTTCTGGGTTAACAAGTAGTACTGCGCAACGCGCTCTAGGTACTTTTTCCCTAATAATCGAGCGTGCTGTTAATAATGCATTTAATGCATTACTAACTACATTTGGTTTTCGTAAGTTACTTTCTGATTTAACAATTGGATCGATGTATCTATTTAGTATTTCGAAGTATACGCGACCGCTATTAATTTCAGATTCTTTATTATTTAAACAACTAATAATACTGTTAGTTAATTGTTGTATTAGCGGATAATCTGATTCTGATTTTTCTGAATTTTTAATCATTTCTGATGCTTTATTTAAAGCGTAGAGTAAATCGGATTCGTTTTCCAGAGTTTGCATGCGCATGCCAAAAGTTACAGATACAGAGTTAATTTTTTTTTGAGTTCTCGGAAAAGTCGTTAACAGACAGGTTATACAGATTGTCGCATTCTGATTTCTTTTGTGTTTCTTGGATTTTGTTTTCAGACAGCTGAGGTATATACTCTTTAGGAGCCAATGTGTCAATCTGTTTTATGGCATCGTGACCATTTTTTTTACATGGGTTTTGTATACAGGCGCGTTCGTCCTCTGAGTTCGACCGCTACGTCCGGCAGTTTTCGTTTTCCCAATCACTCTTCCAGTGTCCCGTTTCTTTACAGTAATTGCAAATCGAGGAATTAGTTTATTGCAATTTTTCTTGCGAATTTAAATTGACTGGGGCGCTTGTTTTTACTTGATTTTGAGCGGCCCATTGTGGCTGCTGGTTGAAGCGGAGACTAGTGCTATTGTTAGCTGCCGCGCGAGACTCCGCCCACGGCTGCTGTTTGGGCTGCTGCCGTTGCTGTTGCGTAGTTAGCCGAGTCTGATTTTGATTCTGCGGTATCCGATACGAACAGTCTTTAGCTGTGTGTTTTGGCTTATTGCAAATTTGGCAGATGTTAGTATCCTCCGCTTTCATTAATCGAACCGGCTCTACTTTAGGTTGGGTTAACGCTTTTACTGTTTCGGTTATTTCCTCAGGTTCCTGTACGTTAAATTGTCGTTCAATTTCTATTGCTTTAGTTGTAGCTAATTCTACATTTTCGGCTTCCCCCATACGCGCTTTAATGACTCAATATAAACCGGGGATAAAGAATTTTACTTTATCTTTTTGATCCTAACAGTAGGTCTAAAAATTTAATCATTTGTTCTACATTATCAAACGTTTTTCCTGGCATGCTTTTAAGTGCCTCACCTCTTATTTTGATTTTAATTAACTTGGTGAGATCATTTTCATTGATTGTCGTGACTATGCTGCGTGCCTCCTGACAATCATCGATAAATAAGTGTAAAGGTATATGTTGAATCCATCGAATTTAGGTACGAAGTTCACAGCGTCTTTCAAACTAAAATTTTTTATTGGCGATACTATGTTTTGTGTGGAATTCATTAGTCATATTTTGAAAGTCCCCGGCGTATAATACGTAGTAAATGGGCTGCTTGCAAAATTAGTTTTGTTTGTAGTGGCAAAATGTCGAGTTGGAATGAAATCAACTTTTTCCGATTTATTATGAGTAATTTCTGGTGATTTGGAAGCGGATGGTGTATTAGTCATAGACACGTTTGTAGTGGGCGCGTTATACGTATCTGAATTTTCAATTGCTGTTTCGTAACCTGTTTGATTTTCATTGACCTCAAGTAATGGAATTTTAATTTTTCAAAGTATATATCCGTAATAGCGTTAAGGAGGAATGCTGGATTTTTATTTCTACTAGTCATTTCAATGAGGATGTCGAATATTAGGTCATCTTTGCATAGTAAGTCTAATTGGTTTGTATCAATGTAGTCTTGTAAATTATATTTTAATCTTTGTAAATCCTATCGGGTAATTTGCTTTGTTTCGACGGGTGGATGTCTTTGATGCAGATATGCGAGACATTCTGTAAGCATAGGTTCCCTTGTCGCAAAGTTTGGTTCTATTTCGCTAATTTTTTTAATTAGTATTTTGAGTGTAATTAGTTTTCGTTTGTAAGGTGTTTCGACCATTGTAATTTTTTTTGCGATAAGATCCTAATTACCAAGAATGAGGGGCCCCTAATTGTTATGTCTAGGCGAGAAGATGTTATGGCTAGACGTAATAATGTTTAAAATACTGTCACGTTGGTAAAAGTTATTATCTTAGTCAGGAGTTAAACGGAGGTTGGTTAAAGGGATAGCGCCTTTATTATATGTAGCGTGTTTAGGTAGATAACTTAGTTTCTTACCTTGTTAGGACTGGGTTTCAGAAGATGTTTTTATAAACAGTCTCAGGTTTTTGCGCTTGATTTAATATTTATTGTTTAAAGACAAGTTAATAATGCTTTGCAGAGTATAATTCCGGTTCTGAGTAGCCGGGTAGCGAAACTTCGAAATAATTAAATCAGTATGAGTACGAGTACTAGAGTATGAATATTAATCTGAGCTCGAATATGGATTATAATATGAACTTAATCTGAGCTGCTAATATGAGTGCTACCGCGGATCCCGATCCAGCCTTTTTATACCATAGGCTGATGTGCCCCTTCCCTTTTTTTGCCGAATTAATATTCGCGGAAATATTATGGAGAACATGCTTAAGCTAATCTATCCCGCTGGATAGATTTACAAATGTTCCTGGGAAGGTTAATACGATAGGAATTAAATTACCGATACCCGGTTAGTTACCATAACCCGTTATGTGTGACATCTACTTATCATAGTTCGTTAGGTACGTTTTCTTAGTATCGACGTGACAGCTCAATGAAAATGAATCCTGTTACGCTCATTTTAAAGATAAAAGAAATATACAACTTTATATATATACAGTATATACATTTATATTACACACACTTCGATTTTTTAAATCTGCCGAGCCGTTCAAAAGTTATAACCGATTTAATGTAAAAAGAAAATTAAAAAACAAGTAATTTGTTTTTTTAAATTAATAAACATAATTTTCATTTAAATAAAAGAATATTGGCGGGATATGAACGGTTACTCTTTAAAATGAGCCTAAACGTGTTTTTCTACGACTATTTTAGACCGAGCTACAAAAATTTAAATTTCAAATGACTTGTTTTTTTTGCCAGAAACTTTGCACGTCATTGTATATTTTTTTATTAATATTCACATTTGGTGTCATATTAACGAACCTGAAGAGTGAAGATTGAATTTAACCTGAAGCAACTTCGGGAAACGATTCGTATACCTCTTTTATTAGGCCTGGCATTATGAGATTTCATTAAACAGTTACATGTTACATTTAGGTGACACACAAATTTCCTGCACAAAATTATTGTTTGTTCGACGAACTATTTAAGGGTATAAATAGTTTTCTTATTAATATTTGAAGCTGATTTATGACTCCTATTGTTTTAAAGCGAAACAGCACGTGTAATATTTTGACCTTAACGAAGTGTGATATGATAATGTAAATTAACCGTAAATAGTTACGAATATATTCATAAAATATTAATATATTTGACTTATTATCTTATTTCTTTATTGCTTACGAATTGTAGATTTTTAATAATGGCTGTACGAGTTCAATTTGAAAACAATAACGAGATCGGCGTATTTTCTAAACTAACGAATTCGTACTGTCTTGTTGCTATTGGGGCATCTGAAAATTTTTACAGGTATTTATCACCATTATTATTATTTTTCTTACATAAATTTAACTTTAAAATAAGTGAATAAATTAATAAGTTTCCTATTTTTTTATAAACGGAAACTAATTTCATTATTTAATAATACATTTAGAAAATCTTTAAAAGAAAATCTGTTTGAAGTTTTGTAAATAAATACTTGAGAAATGTTTTATGACAAAATTGGTAATTATTCATTAGTTGTGTTCAAAGTATGGTCAATAAACAACAATTATTTACACAATTATTTAATTATTTCAATTATTTCAATTATTTAAAGCAATTCATTAATTTGTGTTTGTTTAGAAGTCTTGATTTTGGTTTTTCATTTGTAAAGTCCATTTATAGTCATACTTTAAATTTTAGCATAAATGTTCATATTAGTATGCTAATATGAATATTAAACTAGTATTACATTTACTAAAAAGTTAGAGAAGCTGAAAAATTAATAATTATATTTTCATACAGATATTTGAAATGTATGATAAAATATTTACACCATATAATTTTAGTATGTTAAATGGACCTAAATGTTAATAACGTAATTTGAAATATAACGTAGTAGTTTAGAAAATTTTGCTTAACTTTTCCTTTAGGTAATAAGTATTAAATTTCCTTTTATATTGTACCAGTAAGTAATATAAATTAGTATTAAGATATACCAAAATTACCAATGATTAATTGCATAAGAAAGTCACACCTTACTTTTTAATAAAAATAAAATTCATTGATGTTTAGGAGACAGAGATTTTTCTGATCTCATAATTTTTTTATAGTTTCCTTGTTAATATTTTCCTGCTATTGAAAGCTATAAATAAATTAATTAATAACTTTCAATTGTTGTTCAGACCACTCCAAATAGAAATGTAAATACATTGATGGCCTAAGTAGAAAATCTGGTAATTAAAATTAATGGAATATATTCAAAGGTATAAATTTATAATTAAATAACTTACTAATATTATAATCAAGGTAAAACCATAACAGTTAATGTGAGGTTATTGTTATAAAAAAATAGTCATTGAACTTTTATTTTTCTATAGCTTTCTATTTAACACTATTTTAATATATTACATTGCAAATATATGGTAACTGTAATATAAATGTTGTAAATTAAATCTTAGCAGTACACATGTGTTCTTAATGGTAATTTGAACCAATAGAATTGTTTTATTGTTGATATATTGTCATATAGATAATACTATTGAACAGAGTGACAAAGTTGTAATTATTGATAGGTGTTTCCCATATAATCGGTCAATGATCGCACATATTCCTATATTTTTCATATTCTAAATTTATTAGTTTTTTATTCGGTTATACTATTTGGATTATAAAATTTTTTTGAACATTCCAAATTAATTATATTTTGTTTATACTGATGAGGAATTTGAATCTATGAATGAAAGACTTATATTAGAATTTCAGTTTTGAACTACAAGCACCATTTCAAATCCATGAGATTGTGTGAATTGTTAAAACAAAACAGTTTACTATATGATATATGTTACATTTCAATCAATTCTATAAAAAAGCATGTCAAAGAGTTTTTAACTAGTATTTATGTTTATTTTTGCTTTGTCAAATATACCTAGTAATATACCTCATTATTAAATTATATTATATAAATGTAATATAAATTTTAACAATTTTCATTTTTATAAATCTAAATATTTAATTATTAATTTATTTATTGAATTACTTAAGCTTGCATGAATTTTTTAGTACAAAAGAAAAAAAATTACATTGTAATTTGTGTAATTACATTGTAATTAAAAATTGTGTAAGAACTTTTCAAGACTTAAATTGATATTTTTCATTGTTTCAAACCAGATCCAATATGGTACAATAATGTGTATACTTCAACATTTACAGAATGAAATCTAACACATTTCTATCTAACATCAACCCTGCCCTTAGACCTCAGATAGTCAGTGTCAGTGTTACCGCTTAACAAATCTTTTGGGTACCTGTCACAGAAATAAAAGTAGGTCTTAATTTGGTCCACGGCACTGTATGGTAATGCAAATAAAATGCTCTTGTGATAACCCAGCTCAGAGTTGGGGCTGTATACATACGCGGCTACTGGACTCGTCTACAAAAAAAGAGCAAGAAATCGCATTTTTTTCTTCTGACTAGAGCGTGTTTTTGTTTGTTTATTAAAAAATTAACTAATTTTCTAAAGAATTTACAAAATTGGAGGCTTTGAAAGTAGAAGATCTACTGCTCAACAATGAAATAAACTAGCGGCGAAAAAAAAGCAACCTGAAGTAGTAACCCAAGATATCTTATGTTGTAAGATATCACATTAACATTATGATCGCATGTTTGTTAAAAAATTGATCAAATAGTTCTATTATTCGTGTTTTTCGTTGTAGCGGCGTGGTGGGGGAAGTCGACGGTCGCTGATTTCGTTCGCTTAAATTCTTGACGCATGTCTTCAAAATTCATAGTGCAACTCTAATAGCACGTATTTTAGGTTCTATTCTAGATAATTATGTCATTTTTTTAATTTGACAGTGCTTTTCGAGACGAGTTGAGCTTTCAAGCGAAAAAAAGTGAAATGTCTATAGAAAGGCTTTTATTAATATGTTTATTAATGTAAAATGGAGATATTCATGCTTGAAAGCTCACCCATGTAAGTAGTATATCCAATATATACGAGGGGGGGTCAATAAGTCTTTATAAAAAGAAGGAAGAAAAAGTTTTGCGTATGTAATTTTTTTTTATTTTTCAACATAATCTCCTTGAAAGTCGATACATTTTATTAAACGGCCTTCCAGTTTTTTTAAGCCATCAGAAAAATATGATTTCTGAAAACCCTCAAAATAGGCATTTGTTTCGGCGAAGACTTCATTCGACGTGAATCGTTGTCCGGCAAGCCATTTTTTGAGGTTAGCAAATAAGAAAAAGTCACTGGGAGCCAAATCAGGCGAATATGGTGGATGGTCAATTAATTCGAACTTTAAATCGTTAATTTTTGCCATCGAAACTGCACACGTGTGAACTCGAGTATTGTCTTGAAGAAAGAGGCATATTTTAAGGCACAGAGGACGTTTTTCTCTAATTTTTTCTATCAGCTGACCTAATAATGACGTATAATATTGGCCAGTGATCGTCTGGCCCTTTTCCAAGTAGTCGATGTAGATGATTCCATACGCATCCCAGAAAACCGTGGCCATAATCTTGCCAGCTGACTTTACTGTCTTTGCCTTCTTTGGGGCTGGTTTTCCTGCGGTAATCCATTGTTTGGACTGTTTTTTAGTTTCAGGTGTGTAGTGGTGTACCCATGTTTCGTCTACAGTTACGAGTCGCCGTCAAAAGTCTTCCGGACTACGACGTATGCGTGCCAAAAGAGTCTCAGAGGTGACCACGCGGGTTATTGGGTTATTAACAGTGAGCATACGCGGCACCCATCTTGCTGATATTTTTTTTCATCCCCAATTTTTCATGCAAAATTGAAATGATTGTACCCTTTAATACCCCTGTGGCCTCAACTAATTCTCGTAATTTTAAGTTTCTATCACTCAACACCATATCGTGGATTTTGTTGACCATTTCGGGCGTACTCACTTCTACGGGGCGTCCTGAACGAGGTTCATCTTTTGTTGTTGTACGACCGCGTTTAAATTCATTTATCCAGTTATAAACAGTCTTAAATACAGGGGAAGACTTGCCACGAAAGGCGTTCAACTCAACTGTGATTTCTTTTGGTGTAAGACCTTTCAAATGAAAATGTTTTATCACCGCTCGAAACTCTGTTTTTTCCATTTTTCAAATAAATCAATAACTTTTTGTTCAACCAACGCTCACAAGAAAATGACTTAATGAATCGAGCTGAAACTTTGTACGATATCTAGTTAGTCGTATTGCTTGCCAAAAACATCATAACTTAAGCGTGACGCGCGCCATCTCTTGGATTTTGTAAATATTTATTGACCCCCCTCGTATATTTATAAATGAATCTATTGTATTATTGAAGAATAATTTTGTTAAACTTATATACAATATATTATGACGCTATAAATTCGATCGGTTTTGTTATGCTAAAGTCATAAACTTTAACTTACAGTAAGCTCATAAATTATAACTAAAATCGTAATGGTGCATAATTATAATGTAACGAGATAATACGGCTCGTCACCAACTATTTAGGGCGGGGAAGAGAGGCAATGACGCTCTGAGTAATTAAGAGAGGATTATAGTAAGAGAAAGGATAATAAAATGGTTTAGACTCGTTAATTGCAAATATTATCCTATATTCCACGCATTCAACTTAACTTACTGTACCAAGAAAGCCCGACAATCAGTCAGCTTGTTGCCTGGCGTGATATCGCCGCGGCAAGGGCGTGAATACCGGCACAGAGAACCGTCGTAATAGTTTGCTGGTGAAAGTCTAACTATCGCGGCACTTGTAACGGGCGAGGACGATCGCCACATCTGAGAGAGAGAGTGAGAGAGAGAGAGAACTCTGGAAGAGCTCTTGACCTTGGTTCTGCTGCGACTCTTTGATGAGCGGGAAACAGTAGGCCACCTTTCCTCAAAGGCGCGTCGTCTTCTTCCCGTTGAGCAGCTCCCTCCTAGACTTCTTGTCCCTCGTGCTCAGTTCTCCTACTCACGACCTCTACTGATCTCGTTTCTCGCACTCGACTCTGCTGCTGACGGCCTCCACTGACTGCCTCGCTATCCTTTCTCTGTCGCTTGGTTCTTACTCTTCTCACACCTCGTATTTAACTCTTTGACCACTCGTACGTTACTTTTTTTTCGTACTCCTCGTTCTCGACTGCCGTTAAACTCTTTCTTCTCTCTACATTCGATGTATCTTCTCTTGACATAATTTCACGGCGGCACGCGACACCGCTAATCTGTCGTGAACCTACCGTGAACCATTGCAGAATACTGGCACTTGGACCCTAATCTCTGTCTCTTTCTTCGCTCTCTCCTTTTCTTATTCATTGTCGCCTTCAGTAACCCCACTCTCGGCTCGTCGA